ATTTTTAGCATCTACATGGATGTTAAAATCACCCACAATAATTATTTTATCTGAGCTCAGAACTAAATCAGATAAAAAGTCTGAGAAATCAGACAAACTCTGTGTAAGGCCCAGCTGGGCGATAGATGATAACAAGACTGGATTCACAGCTGGGGAGGACGAGGCTCAGCATCAGGCTTTCAGATGAATCCAAACTGTCTGTGTTTATAATTGATTGTCAGGTGTTGATTCATTAAACTAACAATCATCCTGCTGTAAGCAGGTTTCTGTGAGGCAGAGTCAATTTGTTCATCAATTCATGTACTAACAGGAAATAGACTCACGTAATGTTTAATCGTCTACGTTTCACTCTTGAGGGTTTTGGTGCTGTTGATGATACGTTAATGTCCTTTTTTGCTGGTTGTTTCTGATGGTTTGGGAGCAGACACAGTGATAGTGTTTGGAGGGATAATAGAAAGAGAAGCTCTGGAGAGATGTGTTAAGATGTTTCACAGCTGTGCTTCATTTCCCCCCAGTCTCAAACAGACTCGAGGGTGGTTTGTTTTCGGTGTGAATGTGATGCAACCCTGATGTGAACGAGCGGGTATGAGTTACACGTTTGTGCTAAAAACTGACCCGTAGCCACGTATGCTTTGTTCTCAGTGCGTGAAGGTGTTATAGACATGCAAAGTCTTTAGCTGTGAAACTAACACCATTTATCAATGTAAATGGTTCTGATCTTTCTGATGCTAAAGTTGTGTGAAGGTGAGCTGGTGGAACACATTTATGATCAGACTTATGTGTTCTTATCAGATGGAAATGGAGGAGGAGGATGAGGAGGAAGAGGAAGTTCATCTTTCTGGACAGGACCTGATGAGGATCAGAGATGCTGTAGCTCTCCTGGTTCAAAGCTTACTGAGACTTCTGCAGACACTTCCACTTAAAGCCAGTCCTCAGACCCTGATCCACTGTATGCAGGTACCACCTGCTTGTCTCTGCACAGCTGGTTCATTTCACACTGTGGTCCTGCAGCTGTTCACAGCTGATCCTTTTCTTTCTCCAGATCTTCAGTAACCTGCTTTACTTTGAACCCACCACTGGCAAACCAGTTTTTGCTGCT